CATCACACCTCAGAGTATTGAGCTGGCTGGAAAGAACTGGGAACCAAGTGAAACACAGATGCTTTTATCAGCCTTTTATTTATCCTGTTTTTTCCAGAATCAGACTATTATATAATGACACTGATACAAGTTAAATATAAATTTAAATATTTGTAAAAGCCTCATTCTTAAACTTTTCTGTTTCTGTGATTACAAATATCTTGCTTACCCCACGGCTGTATTCAGAGTTAAACCCAAGCTCTGGTTTGCTGGTTATAGCTTCATGTTATACCCATATCAGAGTATAAACAAATAACAACTATGTTATCACAGATATGATACCGATCCATTTTAACTTATAAAGTAAATAATTCTCCAACCTGGTGTAACTATATGAAATCACTCACTACTTTTTTCATTGAAATTAAACATCATGTCCCTACCACCAATGGATAAAAGAAAAATACAAAGGTGGTGTGCTTTGAGTGTTCCGTATTTTAGTAGGCCACTAACGGTGAAATGTGCACCAGTATAGAAATGCTTTCCTCTCTGAACAAGGCTGAGTTTGAAAGTAAGGTTCTTTGCTCTTTTCACCTGAGCTAGTTCTACTGTCTTTTTATCTTTGCTGCCCTCCTCTGGAATTCTTATATCACCTGGTTCTCTCTTCCAAATGATGTGCTCTTTACCCTTGACTTTAGAACTACAGAAGGACATTCACACTTTTTATTTCGGTGCACTTTGTATTACTTTATAGCACTGGTAGGGTAGTAGTGTCGGTGGTTTCAGGTCATCCCTATACTTATCCTATGACTTTCATATTAGTTTGTATCATTTTCAGTGCCACCTGCTGAATAGCTTTGGAAATTGTTCCTTTAGAATATCTTCTGTAAGAATCCTATTTAACTTTTTATTCTACTAAGAAGCATTTTCTTTCCTACCATCTTTTATTTAATAATAACCTTCCTATCATCAGGTTCCAGTACTTACCTGCCCAGTGTACAATGCAGGCTTGAGAAAAAGAGAAACTAAGAGACAGAACTGAGAGCAAGAAAGTGCGGGGCCAGGATGACCAATGCTGGTGCGACAGACAGAGGTCCTGGACAGTCCCAGGCACTGACTTTTACTGGCAATCAGTTGGGGTAAAAGCAGCGTGTGGTTTCTATGGAAATTAATGTAAACAAGGCTCATAAAGGACAAGACAAAGCATTCTCAAATTAGGAACAAAATAGACAAAATATATGACTGTAATCAGAACATTGTCCTTCTAGTCTGGAGGTTTCAGTTGTGGGAACAGAGCTTGGGTGTGAGTTACTACAACCTCAGCGTGTAGGCTTCCGCCAGACGCACTTCTCAAAACGAGCCAGTTGTAGGTTTAACTCTTCACAGCCTGCTGTGGGCATAATGAACATTACAGTCCTCTCCACTCCCTTCTCTCACTGTGTCACCTTTACTGTGTCATGAGTACTGCTCATTTTCACTATGATGAATAACTTAAAAGATTTGGAAAGATTTGCGATGTCTATTCCCTTAACCTGAATTCTATGTAAATACTTCTGTATGCTATATGATGATAGCATAAAGTAGATCTCTGTCGAACCCTACTTTATAAGCTAACATGTCTGCAGCATTTACATAGAGATACAAAAACAGAATGTGGACTTTGTATGTACTTCAGAAAAAAAATTTTGACATCATAATCATACCAGCCAATCAATTCTCTGATTATATTATAGTCACTATCCCATCCTTTTTATAACTATTATAATCTTTATGCACCTTACCTCAGTTCATCTCAACTCCAAATTTGTGTATAAATGATAGAGAACTTTTTAAAATAATCTCAAAACCTACAAAATGTTAGGAAAATGTAAAGGGATTTCTAACAGCAATCTGCTTTTTTTAGTTCAAAATTAACAGATACCAGGGGCATTGACCATGAAGTGGGACATCTGGCCTCATCTCTGACCTTGAACATCTGCTTCCTGTGCACTAGAATAGATAGCTAGACAAATCTGAAGGTAAACTCCCTAACTGCAAGGAATTGCTATGTCTGGGTTAAAGTTAACTGTCTTGTTACTATAGTATGTACATGGGTAATGTGAGCTGAGGAAATGAAACGCAGCCACCTGAATGAGATCAAGGCTTAAAACTTATAAAAGAAGAAGCTGCAACCCAGTAACGGGTCAGTCACTGGCACTGCTTTTAATGTGACCAGCCTTTTGCTGGCAAAATAAACCTTTTATTATTTTACATTATTATTATCTGCATCTCTGTAAGTGTCATTTACCATCCCTTCAGCAATATAAACACCTGTAGTGAATACTCACTGACAATGAATTCTTACCTTCTCTTACAAATGACTCAGTGCTAATTTAACATAATAACAATTTATTTTAATATATTATTTTATTATATTGTAATAATATTTTAACATTCTTATTTGCAAAGATATCTGAAATTGGTACACAATAAATATCATGTATAAAATATTTAAATAAATACTAAGACAAAACTAAAAAAATTTCTAAGAAGTAGAAGACAACTAGAACCCGAGAGCATGCAGTACAGGAGACATTGTGCAGTTGGTAATCAAACGTTACCTCATTTGCCCATAGTCCTGCTCAGTCAGCAAGAGACCCTGCTATGTAGTGGCTCAGACTAAAAGCAAGAAAATTTTTAAAGCCAGCCGGGCGTGGTGGTGCACGCCTGTAATCCTAGCACTCAGGAGGCTGAGGCAGGAGGATCACTGTGAGTTTGAGACCAACCTGGGCTACATAGTGAGTTCCAGGGCAGTCTCAACTACATAGTGAGACCCTGTCTCAAAAAAATATATATATATTTTTTTAAAGCTAGAATCAGGTTATATTTGAGAAACTTCAACACATACTTAGCTTTTCTGAGCTCTAACTTTTCACCTAAAAAGTACATGAAAGTAGCATTCAAAACAAACCTTAATCTGAGGAGTAAAATAAGATGGTTTATGACAATTCAATGATTTAACAAAATGTTGCTGAATGGCTGTGTTTCAAAATGCTCTAAGCCTTGGAGATGCAGCAATGAGCAAAATAATCAAAGCCTTACTCTCTCTGATCCACCAATCTAGTGAAGAGGAACAATGAATCAAATAAACGCATATGATATACAGGGTGATAAGTATTATAAAAAAATGAAGCCGGGGGGATAATAGAGTGACTGGCGGGCACCTGGATCCAAGACGTCACTGAGGAACAACGACGCTGCAGAGAGCACCGCAGGGCGTGCCGTGAACCGCTTGAACACCTACAGCAGACTTCCTAGAAAGAGGAGCAGTTCTAAAGGACCTGAAGCCCAAGCGCGCTCACTGGGTTCCAGGGTGTCAGGCAGAGAGACCTCACTCGCAGGCCCCGCAGACTAAGTCAAGGCTGATGCAGTGCGCTCTCCGCGACGCCCTCAGAGAAAGGCGGTGATGTGCTCTGCTCTGTGCTCCTGTGTGAGACAACTGGCTGCGGCCCGGGAAGCAGACATAGGGTAACAAAGCACAGGGGACAGCAGGGTGATGCTTCACACAGTGACAGGGACAGCTAGCACTGATACGGATGGTCAGAAGGGGCCATATTTTCGGTATGTGTAGGTGACGAAGCCATCGGATCTGCTGATTTACTGGTAGTGAAGGTGAAAGAAAAATAGGTTTTTGATATCAAAACTTTTGGCCTATGTAACCAGCAAATAATATCTCTGTCCAATCTGAGAAAAATATAAAAGTAAGACGTTCTAGAGAGGAAAAAAAAAGAAAACAAAGAGTCCTCCTGGGACATTTTATGTGTGATACAGATAGCAGATACCCAAGTTAAGTAGCTGTATGCACAAGTCTGGACTTTGGGAGAACAGTCTGTGCTGAAGACATAAACTGGGAGGCAGGAGGTAAATCCACGAGGCTGGAAAAGATTATTTAGGACTAAGTGAAAACCGGGAAAGTTCCAAGAACCAAATGCTCGCATATTTCAGTGTTTTAAAATGAAGGGAAAGAGGAGGAAGCAGTGAAGCTGATGAGAAGGAAAAGCAAAGGAGAAGCAAGAAAGCTGCACCTCAGATGCCTGAGAGCAGAACTTTTGAAAGGGCTGGGAAAGCAACTGGAAGCTGAGGCTCCAGCACAGCGGGCTGGCGGCGAGACGGTGAGCTGGCTGCGTGCTCGGCAGCACAGAGCACGTGATGTCCGCACGAGTTGTGTGAGAAGCCTGCAATAAAGGAAAACCACAACAAAAGGAGAAGTGGATCAAGTGAACATACAGAACTTCTGGTACATTCTTCTCAGAAAGGAAGGCAGGCACACAGCATTACCTGGAACAGCAGTGACAGGTGAAAAGGGTACCCCTCACTTGGCCAAAGTGTCCCCGGTGATTTCTTTCCCTGATCTCGTATCCCCTTGAGCCGGCCTGCAGGGGGATGGAAGGTGTGTTCGGAGCACCGCAGCTCCCCTCGGTCCCCTTGTTGTGTCAGAGTGGGGGAGATGTTTGATTCCCAGAAGCGGGGCTGCGTGGCCAGGTGAAAAGCAGCTGCACTGCATAGGTGCGCTCGAGCAGGAGCCAGACAGCCTGCCTGAACACAATCAAAACTGACAGCCACACATTTGTGAGCTAAACCATGGCTATTTTAAGACACTAATTTTGGGGAAGGAACAATAACAAACTGAGAAAGATGGGAGTTTAGAGTATGTTTGTCTCTTTGTTTTTGTGATACTAGAGACTGAAGTCAGGGCCTCCACACTGAGCTACACCCCCAACACTTTTTTAATTTTGTATTTTGGGATAGGATCTCACTACATGGGCTTGAGCTTGTGATCCTCCTGCCTCAGCCTCCCCAAGTACTGAGCTTATAGGAGTGCACCATGGTGCCAGTCTGAGTTTGGAGGATTTCATCATTGTTGGGGTTCTTTGCTTTCACAGGAGACATCGTGACATGTTTGCTGATGTGAACAATGTACTTGTAAACAAGAGAGTGGTGTTGGGATGAGGAACAATTTCCAGAGCAATGTGCTGAGGCGGTCAGGGTGTTGGGTTCAGTCCCGGGGTGGGGCGGTGGCCTATACAGGAGCATGAACAGCGGTGACAGGGTGTCACAGATACAGTAAGTGCTCAATAGGTGAAAGTTATGAAAGCTGATGTAGTAAGAGTGTAGCTCACTTCAGAGACACCGATGATACATCTAGAAATGGAAAATCATTTGTGGTTCCACAGTCCTTTCTACAATAGTTACTAGGACTCTGCCATTTGCTTTGTGTGGAATTCCTTTCTTCTTTACTTCCTTATATGCAAATGCAGATCATCCTTTTTTGGGGGGTACATTTCATCTTTCCGTGAAATTTTCCTCATTTTCATACTTTGAAGCAACCATTCAAATCTGGTGCAAGGCATCTGTGTTCTTCAGTGGTGCATGCGCACTGTGCTTGCAGGAGGGTGAGCGAGTAACTGGGGGCCCATGCTTTCTCCAGAACTCCATCCTACAAGGCGATGCCCGGCCGCAAGAGGGACAGCCACCGAACCTCACATGTCCTGAACCGTTTTCATGTACAGAGCAAAGGTGAGTGGAGAGAGGGTAAGAGTCATGCCCACGTGCCAGGCCTAGCTGCCTTTGCTCTGCCACCAGGCAAAGCTCTTTGTAGCAAAGATCGGGAGAGGTGGAAAAATGCCACTCTTCCTGGAGGTGTTTGGCTGCTACTCAGGGAGAGACAGTAACTTGTTATCCAAAAAATCCTCCGCTTGTACAAGACAGCTTTGTTTTCACCAGGGCCAGAGAGGCAGGGCGCATGCTCTCCCACACACGGCAGAGAACAGGCAGGAATGAGGCGCGAACCCTACTCTCCAGGCCAGGGGACAAGACCTGGGGAGATGGAGAGTGAGCAGGAGAAGCAGCTCCATGCCTTGCCCCAGGAAGTGACCAGGAAAGGCGTGTCCAGAGTGAGGGACAGCGCAGAGGGGCCGCTCCTGGCAGCCAGGAAAGAGGGGGAAAGAGGGAAAGGGAGAGAGAGGGTGCTCCAGGGGCTCGCCCAGGGGACCCAACTTCCTGACACCGGTCTCCACAAGAGGCCACAGCTTTAGCACCAAGCCTTTAGGGGACACCTAACACTCTAATACAAAACTCTACAGCTCACCACAGAGAAAAATCAACTTTCAATGGATGATACTCCTAAGTGGAAGAGTTGAAGATGTAAAAGCTCTAGAAGAAAACAGTTTAAACCTCAATAAGAAGAAAACCAAAAGAAGATACAAGAATGACACAAAATAGCAAATAAAAGATGTTCATCATATTTAATCCTCAGGAAAATGTAACTTTTAAGGCCACTATGAGATACTACTATACAATCACTAAGATTACTAATGGAAGGGTCTGAGCAGAGCAAATCTTGGAAAGGATGTGAAAAGAATGAAATATTACTCTTCGTTGAGGGGAATACAATGGCATAGCCACTTAGAAAAACATTTATGTAAAATACATTTACAGTATGAGCCAGCAATTCTACTCCTAAGTATAAACCCAAGAAAACTGAAAGCATGAAGTTGCACAGTCACCTATAAGCAGTTTTAGTTGCCCTAGCTGTCAACGTCTCAAATGTTAAACAACATAAATTTTCTTCAACTGGTAAGTAGGTATTGATTTGTCTTCAAATGGAATGTTATTCAGCAATGAAAAGGAACAAAATACTGACATGTACAACACAAGGGTTGTTTCTTGAAAGCATTAACCTGAGTAAATTACAGACATAAAATACATACACTGTATGATTCTATGAGTGATATTCTAGAAACATCCAAAGCACAGGAACAGAAAATAGCTAAGTGGTTTCTAGTAGTCAGGGATGGGAGAGAAGACAGACTGAAAAGTCACATAGAAATGTTTTGGAGAAATGAAAACCCATACCTTGATTGTCACGGCGTTATACAAATGTATCCATTCATCAAAGCAGCTAAGATGTCATTTATGTAAAATGTATCAAATCAAAGAGAAGAAATTATAAAAATGTCAACACTTAACTTTCTTCAAGCTTTGCCAACACCCAGTGCAAGGGTCAAGCCAGATGTGCTACGTCCATGCACAGGTCCAATTTACTGACCCTCAGTGCCTTGGAATTCCTGGGTCACGACTTGTTGTGAACAGAGATGGACCAGGTGCCCCCTGACTTCAGAACGTCTTCTCATCTCAGAGAAATAGGCACAGCTGATCATACATACGTCCCACCACAGGGAGGAGGGGAGAAAACTGTTGCTGCAGGATGCACAGCTGCTACCTCATCTCTGACAAAGCAGCCAACCAATAAATGGTGCTGGGAAAATCTGGGTTTCACCCTGCCAAGGATTGAAACTAGACCCTTTCACCAGGCACTAAACTAAAATCCAAGTGCATTAAAGATCTACATATTAAAACAGAAGCACAAAACTTGCTGGAAGATAGGTAGAACTCTTAAAGACATTGGCATAGGAAAAGACTTTATGAACAAATCCTCAATAGCATGGGAACTAGTACAAAAAATCAACAACTGGAATCTCATCTTATTAAACAGCTTCTGCACTGCAAGAGAAACCACCAACAGAGCTAAGAGACAACCTACAATGTGGGAAAAAGCATTCACCAGCTGTCCCTCAAATAAAGGTCTACTATCTAGATTCAAAAAAAAATCAGGCCCCCCCAAAATGTAAAGACCCAATTCAAAAATGGGCATCTGAAATGAACAGACATTTCTCAGACAAAGAGGTAAAAACATCAAGTAAATATGAAAAAATGTTCCACATCACTGGTCATTTGAGAGATGCAGATGAAAACAACTCTGAGATTCCACCTCACCCCAGAAAGAATGGCTGCTATCAAGAAATCAACCAATAACAAATGCTGGTGGGGTTGTGGGGAGAAAGGAACCCTTCTCCATTGCCAGTGGGAGTGCAGACTGGTGAAACCATTGTGGAAATCAATATGGAGATACCTCAAACCACTAGGATTAGAAGTCCCATTTAACCCTGCTGTTCCTCTGCTGGGTATCTTCCCAAAAGAATGAAAAGAATCATGCCACGGTGATATAAGTACACTCCTGTTTATAGTGGCACAGTCTGTAATGGCTAAAACTTGGAAACAGCCCAATTGCCCATCAACTGGAGGCTGGATAAAGAAGATGTGGTTTTTCTATAAAACAGAGTACTATTAAGCCATAAAGAATGAGAAACTAGAATTATATATAGCTAAATGGATGCATATAGAGGCCATACTCTTAAGTGAAATAAATAGGACACATGAGTAAATACCAAATAGTTTCTCTGGTGTGAAAAACTGAAAGTGTAAATAAGGTTCAAATTGTATAATTGATAATGTGAAAAGGGCTAGAGGAGTAGGGGAAGTGGGAAGGGTAGGGGAAAGGAAATAAGGGGAAAGAGAAAAAGTGAGAAAAGGAAAAACTGGAAACAAAGTCTTTGTAAATAGGGAAAGGTGGGGGGGGTGAAGGGAGAGCAGAGGTATGGGGAAAAAATAAGAACCAAGATACATCATGTAAAGGCAGAAGATCCCAGTGATGAATGGAACTATACTGTAGACCTAAAATGTACCAATAAATTTTTTTTTTAAAAGATGCACAGCTGCTGAGAAGAACCGCAGAGACAGAACAAAGGTTTGTGCAGTAACATTGGAGCTTGACTAGTTCTCAGAGAGAAATAATAAACAAAGTTTCAAAACAAACTTCCTTAGTTTTGTTTTTTTATATTGTCATGAGTCAAAATAAATTCTACCCAACTTTATTTAGAGAGAGAGAGAGAGAGAGAGATTCCTTGAAGATTTTGCCAAAATTTTTGTTAAAGCCTATGCTTTCACTTTCTGCAAAATCCCCTCAGACGGAAAGACTTGTTACCCAGAAGAGGAGCTTTTGGTTTTGTTTCCAACTGTGAAAAGACGGATCAAGGAAGTGCATGAGATAAGCTCTTATCCTGCTGTACGCGGTGTGGCTTAAGAGCACAAGTGTTCTTGTCGTGGTTCTCTGGGGAGCAAGACGTTCGCAGCCTCACCACCCACGCGCCCACGCAAGGCGTGTCTGAGTGCCAGGGACTGCTGGTTCAAGCAGGGACGCCGTGTGGCCAGGTAGGACGGCCAGCACACGCTCACGTGGCAGGATTTATCACGCGCGTCCTCTACTGTGCATTTTTCAGTGGTCCTCAGTAGACTCTACGTAGCCCTGGCTACGAAGTGCAGATTGGTGCTTATCTCAGAGCTAGTTTCTTGGTCTTCGCACGCCTCCCAATTTTTACCCCTCGGCCGTATTTTTCCTTCGAAATATCACCTAGTTTTCAGGTAAATATCTGGAATCATCAAAGAGGCTCCTGTATCTCTAATATGTATGAGCGTCTGAAGGAAAGCCGACATCTAAGTCAAAGTACGCAGAGCCGATTTTCCCAAACTAAATAAAGTATAATTCCACAACGTTTAAAAACTTCTGAGTGCACACGAGATTTACTTCTTATACATCACATCGAAAAATGATCAGCAGGGGGATTCACACAGGTTTGATATTTTACATAGCGCACTCACACTGTGTTTGGCGAGTGTCAGAACGTTGTGTCTGTTCGATCTCATCGTGTGTGCTCGTGGTCATTTTTCTCGTGGTGAGCCCTCATTTTCTCTTGGAATTAGTTATAGACAGGAAAAGAATTCACTGTATCAGAATCAATGTTTAGTCATCATTGCTGTTAGACCTAGCCATTCTTTATCAATGTGAGCACTGTTCTAAAACTATTTTAAAGTCTCTAGTTCTCTTTTAAGAAATATTGTATTCAGAGATTTAACTCATACAAATTTGGAAAATCTACCTCAGTTTCATCATATTCCTTTCCCTGTGATCAGATGTCATGAGATTATTGACCAGCTGTACTTTTTTCTCTGGATGACAAATAAGATGTTTATTACAATTTATAATGTACAACATTAGAAGTGCCTGACACAGGACAGTAGATTAAGAATGACTATGGTGCATCTATAAATTATCATATAAAAATATGTTTAAAAGTCTAAAACTTTTTAGCTAAAGCTATCTATGATCAGGCTGCACGCAAGGTGAAACAAACAGGTTATAAAGAAAATGTGTGACAAAACCCTGTTTGGAAAAAAGAAGTGTGTTGTTTGTACGAGGGTGTGGGACTTTAGAGGAAGACTTAAAATATAAACATGTTGCTGACTGTGGTGACAATTTCATCTTTATTTATATTTTCTACTTTTTATGATGGACATAGGATATTTTTGTAACCAAAGCAAATATGTAAATCCTTTAAAACCTTTAAACCTGATTCTTAGGCAAAGAAAAGCAACTAGAAACCAAATTCATTAAAAAATAAATGCAAATGTCATACTTTAAGATTTGTGCTGTGCATGGGTTGAAGATTTATCAAGATAATATACTTCTGTATAAGTAAATGTAAAGCCAAGAAGGAAGAACAGCCCACATAGCAAAGGTCCTTCAACGCTTGAGAGCAGACAAGTGTCCACCATGAGGCCCTGAGTAGTCCCTGGGCTATGCTCAGAATGTGGTCTGGGAGCTGACATTTCTCTCCTCTCTTAACCACCCTGGAAGCTGTTGTTTGAAAGCAAGAACCTTTCCTTCCTTGAAATACAGCCCTGCAACTAAGCCTATCATAAAAGAACTTGTTTAGTGCTGCCCTGCGAGCCAGGCACCGTTCTAAATATTTCACATGAAAACCCATTTAATCCTTCACAGTGCTATGCATAGTATGGCTATTATCCCATTTTTTCTGATTAAAAAAAAAACTGAGGCACACAGGGAAATTTACAAAATGTTTATCAGTGGTGAAGATTCCACATCTAGGCAGCCAGTCTGTTCTTAATCACACATCACAATATTTCTCAACAAAAAAATTAATGGTGTATTAACAGAAAATACTGTCCACATGCATATGCAGCTTACTTTTACAGTACGAGCTTTTCTGAGGGGCTGTTCATAGTCACAGACTACTGCTAGGCAGACTGCTAGTTCCCAGATGTTTGTTCTCGCTCAGGTCTGCCTGGGACTTGCATACTCCGGAACCAGGTAATTTCCTTCCAGGTTTCTAGTGCTGCTCACAACAGACTTGGAAACTTTCCACTTCCAACACCCTCTGAAATAAAATACCTCATATTCAGAATAGCTGGACAAAAGAAAAAAAGAGCCCCAGATGTCTTGTGAAAAAATTCACCATAAAGTCTCTCAACTCATTGACCCTTTTCCCATATTTTCTGGGCTTTTATTACATCATGTAGATGAGAAAAAATAAGGCGCCATTATGGCCATAAATGTAATGTCCCAAACTTAGCTAGCTTTTCCTCTGTTGATAGTTTAATTATCCATGTCATTTTTCTACTGGGTATCACATGCTACAGCTCAAACCCAAGCCTGACTGATTATTACAATTGGTAGCACAGGTAAGCTTGGTACTTGAGAAATCCTGACAGCCACCTTGATGCAAAAAATTGACCTATTTAAAAAGTTTAAATATCACCACCACAGTGTCTAAGCAGATCTGTCCATTTTTATTAATTATCATAGCCATCATTTAGTCCTTGAAAAAAACACACATTTAATAATATGCTGAAATTCAAGTAACTTTTGACCTTTTGACCATCTCATTGATGGTTTCTGTTATCTCAGCACTGAACTGTACAGCAGTATGCACCTAATTGTTTCTGATAAATATTCTGAGAAAATTAGAAACAATAGATGTGATGAAAAACAGCTGAGCCCCCATTCCTCCTCCTGTAAACGTGAGATTTTTCTGGGGATGCGCAAGCAGACTTTGTAACTAGTACAAACATGGATGGAACACTTGGGAAAATGTGTCACCCTAATCAAGTTCTCCCTGAATACAACCCTGAACTTACCAGACGTAGTCAGCTAGGTTCTGAATGTACTTCCATAACTCTTTCCAACTAAGCTGCACTGGAAAAGAAGTCTCAGGGTTATAATTACTCGTTTTCTCTCCAAAAAATGTAAAACCTCCATGGTAAGAGATACCAGGAAGTGCTTTTCTCTCAATACTCTGGCCTGCATTGAGGCTTCAGTTTCACCGTCCTGAAAGCCAATATCCAAAGAAACACTTAGGTTCAGAAGTATTGCAAGACATCTTTATGTCAGGGTCTAAGTGACTCAAGGACTCCCTTCTGCATGCAAGCATTTGAAGTCCTTTAGTTCTTTCTAGGCGCTCCCCTAGATGATTGAGTTAATAGGTTGATAAAACAGAATACTTACATTTGAGAACCCTGTTTGTGGAATCAATGCAGGAAGGACGACCATATTTTTGAAAGAAATGCGCTTTTTAAAGAATGTCCGAAATTTTCTCAGTGACAAATACCTTTGAGCTCTGGTGGGGTGGGGGGAGAGATTCATTAAAAAGTGAAAGTAGGTTAATCCACAGGGCTGTAATTCTCCCTCTGACGAAGTAGCTGGCTACAGGTTACAGTCACAAGATAACCCAGATTCCCACCTTGAGCTGCACGTGTGTCCTGCGGTTGGTTCTGAACAACAGAATTGCCTTAGGTGACCATGTCCCTGTGCACAAAATTACTTCCAATAGCCTGCAGCAGAAGCGGAATGTCGTATGTGACAAGTTTAAGAAATGTTTCCTATCAGACTGCACCACAGTCATTTTTCACTCCTATTGCCAATCTGATGGGCTTGGTTCAAATTTTTTAAAAATACTTTCACCCTACTTGCTTTGCTTCTCCCAGTTGGTGTCAAAAAATCCATCAATGAAGTTGCTCTCTACAGAGGGAACACCTTAGACAGCATTTATCAAGTTGTGCCTCGGACATTTACGAGTTTCCTCTTGGGTTATTATGAACTTTTGAAGGACAAAAACTGGACATTTACAATGACAGGCACCTAATGAAAAATAACTTGTTTTAAGCTCTGGAACATACGAGTTTGATATTTGACTATATTCAGAAATGTAAGAGCACCGTTTAGAAGATTTTTAAGTATTAACTATGTCCTAGAATTACACACAACACCTTTCATCAGAAAACACAAACAATTTCTTAGTGTAAACTTGTCTAGACTGGAGTAACAGTGGGGTAACAACACAGGTTAACAGAAACCCAGGGTATGGCTGCCTTTCCCTTTGCTCCGCTTTGCAGGCAGGTGATTTACCTCAGGGACTTTCAGCAAGGTGCCTAGAGAAGATGCCAGGCAAGCAAAATTTGAAAATCCTCAGCTGAGTATCTTCAGATCCCAGTTATAATTGCTGTCAAATAAACTATTTTAATCTTGTCAATTTATCATACATTTATTCAAATGTATACTAAGGAAATACCTATGAAAGGAGAAATCTGGTGACCTGGTAGTTTTGTTAGTCAAAATTTTCCATGAGTGAGTTGCCATGTCAGCCTGTAGGATTTAATATCATAGTTCCAAGGGTCATCTCGAGGGAGGGAAGGTAGGAAAGAGAAAATAATTAAAGGAAAAGGAAACAAAAAATATAAAATTAAAATGAGGATAAGTGAGAATGGAAACTAATGTCATTGAGTTTGTTGCTACCTAATACATTTATAATCACATGTATGGAAATTTGTAAAACAGATTCAACTGGTTTCCTGGATGATTTTTAGACTTCAGATTTAACTTCTCTCTTTTATCCTGTTATATTCTCTCTCTCTCTCTCTCTCCAATCTCTTTCAATTACAGACTGTATTGTATAAACTGTAAATTTTAAAAGCTGTGCACAACCAAATAGCACAACAGCCTTCAGGAAAAGAGAGCTGAGGCACAGAGGTTGTTCTAAGCTTGTAGAAGCTTGTGGGCAAAGGATTAAAGAGGAGGATGTGATAGCAGATCGTCTTTCTCGTGGGCTTTGAGCAAAGAGCAAACGGCCTTCCACAGAAGCAAGGAGTCCATGCAGAACAATAGTGAGACGTCAGATTAGAGGGTGGGAGTCAAGTGTCCGCACATCCAACCCCTGCATGGTAGTCTAAGCCTCACGCACTATGTCGGTTCCCCACTGCCACTGTGATGACTACAAATTTAGCAGCCTAACAACACACATTGGGGGTGAAGTAGCAGAAACGCGGGCTGTCGCCATGTCTCATTGCTTCACATCTTTATTTACGTTGGACCCTTTTTTCTGTGTCTCCTCCACCTCAGGTTTGCGCTCTGGTCCTTGCAGTAATTGCACTGTGTAGTCCGGGGCTGCATTTTCCACAGGACGGTGACCAGGGCTCGCCCTCTTTTAACTTCAAGAAGAGGGACTTCAGCAGGTTTAGGAGATGTGTGAACTACTGGCCATAATTGACTGGACAGACCTTGAGTGGGTGCCTCTCCCAAAACTACAAATCTGGGCTGCTAAGTGCTATTTCAGCTTCTGTAGTGGCCAAAATCGAGGTGAGTTAGATGACTGTGTAAACTGAAATACAGAAAAAGTTAGCGGGTAGGAGGAGAAAAATAAATAAATCAGATTTATAGAGAAGAGATTCAAGACTACAAAATCTCAGAGAGGAGACAAGTGGGATTAAGGTTTTTCTTTGTTCCAGCTGTTTTCAGACCCTCAGGAAGAGATTCAACCCTGACTCTGATCCTCTTCGTGGGTTAGGCACTAGGACCAGGCACAGCGGGGAATCACTCCCGCGGGCAGAGCAGGAGGACTTCAAAGACAGAAGTTATTCAGCTGCTGGAGCCTGGACTCACCCACCCGAGGAATGTCGAGGCTGTAACATAAAAATAACGTGCGAGGCGTAAGAACTTGTGGCAGCTGGCGTTGGAATATCCAGTTGGACACAGGAAGGACCTAGCTCTGGGATAATGCGGGTGGTCCTCCATGCGGATTCCGGAAGTTTCTGTGCTGAGTGTAAAGTTTGGCGCGCTTCCTGGAGTCCAGCGGGCAACAATGAATTCTGAGCAGAGAAGAGGCCTAGAAGCAGAGGACAAGAAGAATGTGGAGAAGAGAATTTTAGTCTCCTGAGATTGACCTGTTGAATCTGGCCACGATTTTATTATCTGACAACCAATCCACTGTCCTTTGATGACAAGGCAGACTGACATTATCTTTGTAAAATTCATTCCCAGTGATATTATGTTACTACCCCAGTTTTGCCCTAGAGCAGAACTAAGAGCTACTTCGTGTCTGTATCTGACAATGTGCGAAATAAGTCAAAGTGTACCAGGATTTGCGGACTGGATTTAAATTTTATGTTGTTTTCTTCTCTTGGAAAAATGCTTCTCATTGTTTATCGTAGCACTGAGTGCACACAAAGAAAGTGCTATTCCCTCGCTCTCCTTTCAGCTTTACAATATGAGGTCTCTCCACACAGGAAGTTTGGGCTTAAGGGGGAAGCTTTTGAACAATACACACCATTCTTACCCCCACACAGTCTGTGTAGATCCAGGTTTAAGGAACATTTAGAAGCCACTAACGGAAAGGCTGAAGAGCGGATTCTTATTCATCAAAAATTCCCAATTCTCAAAAACAGGAATATATTTTTTCTTTTTGCCAATAAGTCATATATTTACATGTAAAGACTTTTTTAAAAAGTTAACTAAAGATACTATATACAATCTATTTTGAATCCAAAAGTTTCCTACCACGTGTTGGACCCATTTGAAAAGTTGTACACACAGCCTTCACTTTACTAGAAACTCTTCTGTTTACTTAAGTCTCCCAAATGCTCCCAGACATATTTATGTCTGCCTATTTGCCTTCTCCATTTTGCAATTTTTTGCTTAATAAAAGATTTTGGAGACAACCCTAGCCATTTTTTTCAGTCTTCTTCTTAATATACCACAGGCAGTGATCCTGGAAAAAGGTTAAATGTGTCTTTGACTTTCCTATTCAGTCCTCACATAAAAAGAAACCTATTGTTTTGTGAAAGAACACTGGTTAAATGAGCTACCTGGAAGTAATATTTCATGTCTTAAAATAACTCCTCTGTTTGCATATGGTTCCGCCTGTCTTCTCCCATTGTGCCTTATGCTGCTGTTCCCACAGGGGTGAGACACACAGGGTTTACGTCTCAGCCAAGGCTCAGACCTTCTCTCCCACAGCAGGCACAGAATATCTGATCTTTTTTTCCTCATCGAAATATTGTCTTTATCTTCCAAGTTTTCCAATTTCTTGAAGTCTGAGACAGTGTCTCTTCTTCCTGGTGGTGTTAAAGGAGGACTTGATGAACCATGGGTTTCTCTGTACAGAAAACAGGCTAATGCTTTCTGATGTCTGATTATCAGTATTCAGGATGTATCTGCCACCTGAATAAAAGTGTCAATGATTTGGACAAAAAGAGTAAATGTATGTTAGGTTAATGTGTGCACAGTGTCTAAAAAGCTGGTTTGCAGAGAAAGATGTACCTTGCTTACGTCAGCGAGAGTCAGGAAATTTGATTCATCTTGAGTACACTGTCAATGAGGCATTTTATTTCATTAAATCAGAAGCAAGAAACTAAAGTGTGAAGCCAATGGATTAGGGTTTCTTTTTTACTACTAAGATACTAACATGTAGAAGACAATCAGGCTGGCGCACCCCTGTGATCCTAGCAGTTGGGAGGCTGGGGCAGGAGGATCCTTCAAGACTGAGGCCACCACTGGCTACAGAGTGAGTTCAAGGCCAGCCTGAGCTACATAATGAGATCCTGTCTCAAAAAACATAATAATAATCTAGAGTCTATGCCATTACACGATTTTTGCATCTATAGCTCCTTACAGCTACTAAACTTTTTGCAAATTTGTTTTTATTATGAAAACAAGCAAGCCATTCTTTGAGGCTAAGAGCTGGGTTTATCTCATTGCTGGATAATCTGAGGCAAATTTTTCTTGCTGAGCTCCACTGTTGGGTGTTAAAACAGGTATATGATGTCCTGAGGCAAAGGTGTGATTTAGTAATCTACCTAACATTGTGCCCAGCAGAGTTTGATACATAGTAGGTATTCTATAAATTATGTTTTTAATTATGATTTGTTTATAATAAAGGGATTTTATTTATTGCAAAAAATTATTACAAATACCTACTCTCCAAGTGAGGGACTAGAACTGTTATGGAGCTTACATTCCACTGGCCAAGAACAAGATGAGCAATGATCGTAGTGAATGATTGTTTGTTTGGGAGTGTTTGTTTGTTTGTTTACCTTAAAATCAAGGGCCTGAAGGGGTCATAAGAGTGTTTCCTTTCTGCAGCTGCCTTTTTCCAGCCCGGGCCACATGCCTGCCCCTGACCTCCACTCGGTCCGCAGCTTGCCCCTTTCTTCCATCTGTGGGGACGCTGAGACTAGGAGTCAGCCAAGCCCTCATTTGGGACAGGTGCAAAGAGGCCTCTTGTCCGGGGCACACGCCTCTGAGGGCTTTCACTCATGGGGACAGCGGCAAAACGGACATGGCAGCCCCGCTGCCCAGCCTGGAGCCTGCAAGAGGCCATCTGGGAACAAGTCCTCACGTCACTTCTGCTCTTCCCAGGGCCCCGTGCACTTTTACACAGCTGAGAACTCTGTGTTGCTTTCCTCTGTGCAGATGCGTTCACAAAGCAAGTGTGTTGTGCATTGATGATTAATTTCGGAGGTGACAATGTCTAAAAATTCTTTGCCTAAACCCAAGGTAACAAACTTTTCTTCTCAGTTTTGGTTTAGAATCTTATACTTTAAGGTTTAACTTGATCTATGATGCATTTTGGAATAGTTTTTGAGTCATTTGGAAATGCATAGCACCCAGAAATATATATTTAAAAAACACTTTAAAAAAGAACTAAATTGTAGGGTTGCGTGAATTCAAGACTCATAAACTGTATAGTAAGCAAGAGAGTGTGAGGACATTTGGCTCAGTGGTTCCACCGCCTGCCTTGCAAGTACAAGGTCCTGAGTTCTATCTCTGATACCAAAAAAAAAAAAAAAAAAAAAAAAAAAAAAACAGGGTGTGATGTTGGTCCAAGATAGACAAATACATTGATAAACAAAAGAAAAGAGTTCAGAAATCGATTCATTTATATAAACAACTGACTTGTCAAAGATAGGTAAACAATTTCATGGAAAAGTATAATCTTTTCAATAAATCATGCTGGAACTATTGCATATATACTTGCAAAAAGTAATAAACAAATTATGATCCATACTTCTCACCATCCAAAATTGGTTGTAATTACAATTGAGGTAGCAAAAATATGACAAATTGACTCTTGGTTGATAGGACAGATAAACTAGTATGGTCAACATATATCAAAAATCCACAATGGGAAAAAAGTTTCACCAAAATAAGATCATATATACGGTACATAGATAAAATACCAACAACAACAAATAAGGAGGAGCAAAGAGAAACAGCTTTAAATTAGATCAAAGACAAGGATTCAAGTTGTTTACAACCTTATTTTTAGTCATAGCACTCTTCAGTGAAAGTCTTAAGCCAAACTAAAAACAAATGCCTCTGGTTAAAGCTGGAGTGAGGACCCAAATACCACAGGAGCTCACAGCCTCCACATGCATGAAAATATCTGTCCCCGAGGTCCCTAGAATACTTTAGGAAGACCTTTTTTTGAATGCATTAAGTTCTTTTGTGTGAATGAAACTGACACTCCTTGTAATAGTCACTCCAGGCTCTTCACTTGTGAATTGCTTGCTCCGCCATTTGTCATTTTTTCTGTTGGGTTGTCAGTTTTTACTGACTTGAAGAAAGTGTAAACACCGATGTAAGATGATGGTTACCTAAATGTCTGCTGTGTTTTTACATGCTTGAACATTAAAACTTAATTTTTAATAGAACTGACTGAAGCTATTAACATAAAATAGAGGAGTGAGGAATAATACATAGCACGTCATTCTATAGAGGGAGCATGGGCACTGGATTTGCTGACAAATCCCAAGTATTCCCTCATTGCACACACGCATACACACACATGTGCACACGTGCATCTGTACATCCTGAGCTAGTCTGACCAGGTAAAGCTGCTGCCTCCTGTAAAAGCAAAGATTCATGTGATACCAGGTCTCTTAATGGAGAGCCCATTTCCATTGCTTAGGGTATGCTCAAGAGGAACACCAAGGAAAACCTTATCACTTCTCTTCTTTGTATACAATGCTATTGTAGAACTAATGAAACAACCTGAGTGGCAGCAACTTTTAAGGAAAAAAGCAACCACTTAAGGAACCATCTGGAAACAGCCACCAATGGGAAATTGCAAAGTTGTCAGTGCATCAAAACCAACTTCCCTTCAGAGCTGACTCTTTGCAAACATCTAGGAATGAGTCTAGAAAAGAGAGTAAAAATATCTAAGCATAAAAGGTAATTGTCTTCACTTTGACTCATAAGAATTTTGTCAACAATGATTTGTTAGAATATAATTTGCCCATTCATAAAAGTAGTCTATGTACTGTATGCATTCAAATATCAAACTGAAAATATATACAATGTCACACACTTTAAAGTCAAATGAATTTCCTTCTAGTGTTTTAAACAAATTATTTTTGTTCATTTATTTCTTTCATTGCCCAGTGTACTAGTCAGGGTAACATAGCTTACGCTGCAGTCCACAATTTAATAGCTAAACCTCTTAATACACTAAAGACATATTTCTTAACACTGAACATTCAATACAATAGTACTTTCCTCTACTCCACATAATTGCCAGCAGATGGAAGTTCCCCTATGGAAAATTTGGTTTCAGAAGAGTAGGAATAATACTAGAAAATCACACAGAGACTTCTGTTCACATTTCACGGGCAAGAACTAATCAGTGCCATCCATGATTGCAAGAGATCCAGGAGGGCAGGCTGCACTCCACTCCAGAAGAAAAGAGACACAGGTATTCATGAGCATCAGAATGGCCACCAGAGCTAATACACTTTACCTTCTTTTTATTTTAGAGTGGTAGTAGTTTTTCTTGGTAATAGTTTCTGAGAAATTTGGAATTATACCTTCTATTTCTATACAACCCAC